ATATCAAAGACAGAAAAATATCAAACTTCTTCAATCTTAGTCACGGCCTATATGCATATGTTCATATCTCCACCACACGGTGTGCTTCTTGTATGCCTGACACAGTGATGTATTTCAGTGTGAAGGAACATGTTATATTTCTGTTTTCTCCTGAGAAGAATGAAGCAACGTTTTGCTGGTTTTGAAACCAAAACCAAAACCTGATGATAAAGGGGTCATGAGACTCTTTGAGTGAGGGGTGATTTCTTCTGTGGTTCATGCTTTGGTTTCAGTATTTGTTGTGTTCATAATTTTGGAAGGAATCTCAGAAAAAAGGTATGTCTCTTTAAAAAGGATTTATTTTGCTTTTTGCAGTTGAAATGTTATGTGACTTCTATGTGAACCAACAGCATGTTTGACAAAAAGGATGACCCCCAAACAGGCTGTACAACATTATACAGTGAGACAAAAACATAGATTATAACAGCTAACTTCCTCCCGCACGGACGCAGTCTTGGTGTCTGCTCCGAAGCATCCTCATATCTCCATGACCTCGTCTGGTATCTGCTCCCTCCTCTGTAAGAGACAGAAAAGCGAAACACCTCTCTGCCTAGCCTTGATAATCTAATGCTATTATCCATTGTTCTTCTAGTGATTCAAAGTTGGTTTAGAAAATCACATTCAGAGCTCTCTGACCCAAAGACTTATTCTAATCATAATCTATGTGTGTAAGCGTGTTTGCAGTTACCCCTCTGCACTCTAAGTCATTTCCTACAATATATCAGTGCGGACAGTAAAGCCGAACAAAGCTTATGACCTTCAGAAGACTGAGCGCCAACTCATTATGAGCACATTTGCAGTAAATGTATGAAAATGATTATAACCACCTAATTTAGTAAAATAAATCAAACATTTTCAATCACAACAGTGTGGAAACAACTAGGTGTGTGTTAATGTTCACATCAAAGAATGGGAGCATCTCTCTGTTACAGTCCAGCTAACCTCCCACCCTCTGGACCTTCTTCACTGAAACAACTTTACATGGAAGTGATGAAGAGGCTGCTGCGTTAGTTCCTTCAAACAAATATATTTCCCAGAATCCAGTCTGTGTTTGTCCCTTTCTTAGACAAGACCCGTCACCAGGCCAAGGGTTCAGTCCTCATCATTTGTGACTTCAAGATCACAATCTCTGAGTCAAAGCCCTCAGAGCCCAGCACAAGGGAACAGCTGACAGTCTTCTTAGAAAGGAAAACAAAAAGCTGAAGTTGAGCTGAAGAGGCCAAAAATAAAAGTCTTTACACACAACAGATTATTGAAGACAGTTTAGCACTTTAATAAAACTGACATTTTATTGTTTTCAATTTTCCAGTTTGGCAAAATCACTTTTTTAAAATAGTTGTGGAGGCTTTAAGCTAGTGCTTGTTAGGCATATACCATTAGATATTTAATTTATTTATTCAATTTATGGATTGATTCTTTACAGGTATAGAGTAGGAGAACCACCTGAATTATTATAGTCAGCTACATTTAATGGTTGAAGAGCGCCCCCTGCTGTTCTGCAGACGCTCCTCACGCTTATGTTCATGTCTGGGTTGTTTTTATTTTCTTATTCCCAGGTAAAGTTATGTATGTGTGTTTGTTGGGTGTATTTTATATTATATTGTTAAAATTCAAATCTCAGCAGTAAATACTGTAGCTGAATATTTCTGTAATGGTATCTTCATGTTGTAAAAGAAACAAGAACTTCAAATACGAAACTGCAGCTCAGACTTGGTCAATCGTTTATATCTTGTACAACAGGTCACATTTTAACTTTAGGACAAAAAACCATGATAGTTTTTCTCAAACGGCAAATTTATTTCCTAGTAGCTAGAAAAAGAAGAAAGAATCATTCAGAAATCAGATCTTAAAATAGGACAAACAATGAATAAGTGAAAAATCTGTGAAAGCATTTGCTCTTTCTTAGTATCTTGGAACTATTAATGCTAGGACTTTTTACTGGTTTCAAAATGAGATCAAAAACCTGTTGATTGAGGAGTTATATGCTCGTCCACTTTCAAGATCACTGGTAATATCTTCAGTGGTTTTTTCTTAGTCTCAAGATAAGGAAACAGCTTCTCAGTGAAATTGTGTTTGAAGGTGTGTATGAGTGTGTTGGTATCCAGATCAAACAATGAGAGCTTCCCTCTGTCACACTCCAGCTGAACTCTGACCCTCTGCAGCTTCTTTACTGGCAAGTATTTATATGTATCTGGTGTTGTTGCTACTATGTACTTTTCATCCTTGAGACTTAATTGCCAGACACCTGATGGTGCTTGTGTCTTTCTCTCAAAAGACTCATTTACAACACCAAAGGCCCAAAATCCCTCTTCTCCAACCTCAACATCCCAAATGTGAGTCCCTGAGTCGAAGCCCTCAGAGCCCAGGACAACTTTACAATAGTCAAACCTCTCTGGATTATCAGGAACCTTCTGTCTCCCTCCAAATGTCACACTGGTCAGATCGTCAGATAGGATGAGTTGTGGATGAGCTGTGTTTGGATCCAGAATCACAGGAGTGTAGGAGACCATCTTCTTCTTCATCTTATTCCAGATGTTGTAGGTCAGGTTGCCCAGGTGTTTGGCCACATCTATCAGAGCTCCTGAGACCAGCTGTGGATCCTCCATCAGGGGGCGCTGCTTGACTCTGATCACTGCAGCCTTGTAGCTCTGGAGAAACACGACGTCTTCAGCTCTCAGTTGCTCCTCTGTGGCTCTGATTGTTTCTGAAAGAGTTTCCATTTTTCTGTTCAGATTCTCAGTCTTCTCCTTCATCATCTGACTCTTCTGTTTCTCTTCTGTCTTCAGAGCAGTGATCCTGGTGTTTTCTTCCTTTTGTAGAAATTGACGAAGCTTTTTAAACTCCTCATGAATTTGCTCTTCTGTCTGCTGGGCCTGGACCTTAATGCTTTCTGCTATTTGGTCAAACTCTCTTTTAGTGTATTCAGTGTTCATCTTTAATACCTTTAAGGGTGCCAGCAATTCCTTTAGCTCTTTTCTGTGACCGTGTGCAGCTTCATCAATAGGTCTGAATCTGTGGTTTTTGTGTGCTATTGAATCTCGACAGACAACACACACCGGCTGCTGATGATCCAAACAGAAGAGTTTGAATTTCTCAGAGTGCAGACTGCAGAGAGGCTCAGACTTTTTAGAAGCTTTTAGAGCTTTCTTAATTATGAAGGCCTCACACAGGTTCTTTAACACCAAGTTACGGGGAGGATCATTCAGTAAAGGAATCGTCTTGCATATTGGGCAGGATTTTATTTGTTTGTCTCTCCACCACAGCTGCAGACAGTCTTTACAGAAGCTGTGGCTGCATGACAGGATGACAGGATCTTTGAAGATGTCGTGGCAGACGGGACAGGAGAGATCCTTTTCAGACTGAGAAGACATTTTGCTTGGGATTGAAAAACACAAAACAAGACATGTAAATATCCCACAAGGTAATATACCTGATAAACTGAAGACGGTTCTTTCCTTAAAAAAAATTATCTTGTTTTTTATTTAGTTTTTTTTTAAAAATATTTGTTGTACTCCAATAAAAAGATTCCATCAACAAGGCTAAACAAAGCTTCTACTCTGGTATTATCAGTAAATATGAGGGTAACACAAGGATTCTGTTTACAGTTCTCAACAAACTTCTTCAACCCCCCAATGCTTTACCACCACACTTCTTCTGAAACATGTAACTCCTTGATGCAGTTCTTCACTTCAAAAATTCATAACATTCATCAGCAACTCAGTTTGAATGTTGTCTACGCCCTCTCCAGAACCTTTTCTCCATTTTGAGCCCTTTTCCACCTTTCATCTTCCTGATATATCTGATATTTCTGAGTTCATATGTAAATCCAAGCCTGCCTATGACCCTATGCCTACAGGCCTTGTGAAATCCTGCCTCTTTTCCCTACTCCCACTCATCTCTGCTGCCATTCACTCTTCACTCACCACCAGCATCGTACCCTCATTATTCAAGATTGTTTCAGTCACTCCCATACTGAAAAAAACTTCTTTAGATCCTAACAACTTTAACAACCTCCCTCCGATCTCTAATCCACCCTTCATCTCTAAAATACTTGAAAAAACTGTTGCAGCTCAACTTAATTTACACCTGGTTAATAATAACATCTACAAGAGGTTTAAATATGGTTTTCGCTCGTGTCATAGCACAGAAACTTCTTTACTTTACTCTAATGATCGTCTAATCGGAGCTGACTCTGGTCTTCTCACCATTCTCATCCTTTTGGATCTGAGCTCAGCCTTTGACACAATCTCTCACTCCGTCCTACTAAGCAGACTTTCCTCTCTTGGTGTCTCTGAAACACCCCTAGCGTGGTCCCAGTCATATCTCCTCTTATATCAGTTTGCTCTCATCTATTCCCAGTCACTTCTGGTCTACCCCAAGGTTCAGTCTTCGACCCTCTTCTCTTCATAATTTACATCCTCCGTCTTGGTACCATTTTCTGCAAATTTGATCTGTTTTGCTGATGACACCCAGTTATATCTCTCCTGTAGGCCTGATTCCTCCCTCCCACCTTGTTCCCTTAGAGAATGCCTATCTGAATTAAAATCCTGGTTTAGCTCTAATTTTCTTAAGCTCAATGAGGATAAAACTGAAATTCTCCCTGTTGGCACTAACCTTTAACCTACTGAAGGCAAAGCATTTCTCACCCACTTTAGATAACTCCACAGCTTTCCCTTCACATCAGGTTAAGAGCCTTGGTGTCATCCTAGACAGTTCACTATCCTTTAAATCTCAGATCAACAATCTCACCCGTTCTGCCTATTTCCATCTACGCAACATTAACAGATTACGTCCTTCTCTTTCCACCCAGTCTACATCCATTCTTGTCCAAAGTCTTGTTACCTCCCGCCTTGACTACTGTAATTCTCTCTTGCATGGTCTCCCCCAAAAATTCCTCCATAAGCTTCAACGTGTTCAAAACTCCGCTGCCCGCATTATTACCAGAACCTCCTACCAGCACATCACCCCTGTTCTTCAGGAACTTCTTCTGCTCGCCTTCAAGGCCATTCATAACCTTGCTCCTCCTTACATTTCTGACCTGTTAAACACTACCTCTTCTGCTCGCTCACTTCGATCCTCTTCTTCTATCCAGCTTGCGCTGCCTTCTTTCCGCCTCACCTTGCTGGGAAGCAGAGCTTTTAGCTGCTCTGCTCCCAGACTGTGGAACCCTCTACCCCAGATATAAGAAACACTGGTTCTCTCCCCCAGTTTAACTCTCAACTCAAAACCCATCTGTTCAAATCTGCTTATTCACAGTGAACCAACTGTTTGTTCATTTTATCTTGTGCTTTTGTTTCTATTGTTCTTCACTTCATCATCTCTATAATATGTTTTATTCTATTGTTAAGTGTCCTTGAGTGTCTTGAAAGGCGCTTTATAAATACAATTTATTGTTATTATTATATAAACAATTTGTTAATATAGTGATTGCAACCAACCACTTCATTTAACTCAAATATTTTAGTTCTCTAGCACAGTTGTCCCCAACCCCCGGGCCTCGGACCGGTACCGGTCGGTGAGTCCTTTGGTTCCGGGCCGCGAGAGTTGAGGCTCAGGTGTGAAATGTATAGTTTTCAGGGTTTTTATCGGTTTTCAGCGTTATTTTGTTATCGTTTTTATCGTTTACTCGGTTTTCCTGGATCTTTTCATGTGTGTTATGAATAAATTTTCTGTTTTTTCGGTACCGGTACTAGTTTTATTTTGTTGTATTTATCCGCGACACCTTAAAGGCCGGTCCGTGAAAATATTGTCGGGCATAAACCGGTCCGTGGCGCAAAAAAGGTTGGGGACCGCTGCTCTAGCACGTGCTTTCATAGTGCTAGATTTTTTTTTCTTTTTAAATTACTCTATGGTAGTATGACTTACCAGGATAAAGTCCAACAATTTAGAAGTCCCTTGGATATTTCTTCCACTGAAAACGTCCAGATGAACAGAATCAACCTTTTGGGTTCTCCTTACCTGGATGATTGAGCATGCATCAAGACATTATTCTTTCTTATTTATTCTATTTTTTTTAAAAAGAGAGCCTCACTTTTCACTCCTTTTTGTGCTATCACAGTAAAGTCAATTATATAGTTTTTCTTTTACGCTGCAATAACATCTATAAACACTATAAAAACTATATTAGTAAAATAGAAAATTGGTGCCTATGAACATTACAGGATCCTCAGTCTGTTCAGGTCTGACTCTGTCCTGCAACTTAGTAAAAGAAACATGAAACTGAAATTTATTAGCTGCAATTCCAGCAGTGTAAAAAAGGCATTAGGATTGCATACAGGAAGCAGTGAAGATGTGCTTCTTCCACTGAATTTCTACAGACACACTGAACAGAACCTGCTCTGGATCAGGTGAAGTTTAGCAACATAAAATACCATTGTTCCACCTAACCACTTAGTTCAGAGGGGTGTACTACCAAGTACAACAGAACACATCCATTTTGAATGCTACAGTATTGATGAGCAATATAGCAGATTACAGAAGACCCATACAGTGGGAATAAAAACTCTGAAATTAAACTTTCAGGTGTAACACACTTAAATCTGAAAAAAGTTATATTCAAGTTTACTAAAAAATAAATTGTAAAA